TGGCTGGCTGGGGAATTCTGGGAGTTGAAGTCCACACATCTTACACTGGCCAAGGTTGAGAAACACTGATCTAGCACATTGCTTGTGTGCAGTGAGTGCTCCAAAACATCACAGTTTTTTCAAGGATGACCTTTTCCATACTGATTCATGAATATCCACCACCATCCAAGAACCTAGATCTTCTGAAAACAAAACAAAAAAATAACATTAGTCACCGGGCAAGTGTTCCATGACCGAATGGATCGGATTAAAGGCTGCTGCACATTTTCACTGCCTTGATGGTTGCAAATGGCCGCATTGCCTGGCAAGTCAAACATCATCAGCCCTGCCCTTTTTTTTTTTTTTTTTTAAAGGACACGATGTTCTTGTGTGGGGGTGGAAATCCTTCAGGCCTTAATGCAGAGCCTTCAGCTGCTGGGAGGAGCAGAGAACCAATTCAGGTCTGAATATGGTTAGACTTAAAAAGAGAGTATTGAGTTTAGATGGAACTGGCAGCCAGTGCAACAAGGAGAGGCAATTTGGTGGAGTGGTGAAGGTGCTGGACTAGAAACCAGAAGTCCATGGGTTCTAGTCCTTCCTTGGACATAGCAATGGTCTGGGGGTGGGCTAAGATCTACCTGCAAATGAGATGTAAAAAGTAAGGTCTTGGTGTGGTATTTTCTGTTGTAGGAACCTGCTAGCTCAGCTAGGTGACGGCCTTGTTGATCTTGGCTGATCTCAAAAAATTCAGCACAATTGCACCTGCTAATATTTAGATGGGAGACCACTAAGATGTCTCAAGGCTGTAGGCTAGAGTGGGAAGTTCAAAAAACATTCCAGGAATAGGGAACGGCAAGCCCATTCTGTATTGCTGCTGAGAAAATGAGATGGACACCACCATGAAGCCAGCAGGAGAAGCTTGACTTAAAGACTTTCCCTTTTTGTTATTCCAATATATTCTCCTTGTTCAACCTTTATAAAGAAACCATGACTCTATAGCAGTCTCTCTTTCATGCAGAGCTTCACCAACGTTGGATTGACTTACTAGCCAGCTATTCTGTGTGTTTGCCACCAGTTCCTACTCCTACTTTGTTCTCTGGGATATATGAAGAGCCCCAGAGAAAGGAAAGGAAATGGCGTCTGATACTAGGATAAGATGAGAGGAGGGAAAAAAACAGCGTCCCTTTTATTTTATTTATACCTTACTGTTTGAAACAAAAATAAAATAAACAACCATGAAAAACAAAGCCTCATCTGATGGTTGCTTAAAGGGGTCTGCTGCTGTTTCTTAATTGTCAAGCAATGCAATGGAAATTGAACCTCTAAGGCAGTGTTTCTCAACCTGGGCAACTTTAAGACGTGTGGACTTATTTACATTGAACTTTATGGGAAAATTTGATTCGGTTGGCGACCAATTCGGTTTGCGACCAGAATCGTGGAATGAATTAAGTTTGTGAACTGAGGTACTACTAACTCTACCTTTATTGTAAGGTTACAGTAACAGAATCTTGCAAGCCTGAAAGCATTTCTCCCCTCCTTTCCTTTTACTCTCCCGAAAACTAGGAAGGATCCCTTCTGAAATGCTTCCCACACCCCTTTTCCTTCTGGGGGCTGAGATACCTTTTGCATGA